CTAAGTATACTTCGGTTGGATATGAATTAGATATCTGGTAATCAAAGTTTTTATAAATATTTTCAAAAAGTGTTTCATAGGCTGTAGGACCGTAGAATTTTGCAGTCCCTTATCATTAAGTGTACTAACAAAGAAACAGTTGTCTCTGAGTTTTTCTGTTGAGACACGATGGTCAATTAATTGGGATGTAGTTGTTTAACGATGTTTAGAAACTTATTTAGGTTTCCGAATAGTTCTTACTGCCTGGAATCAAGGAACATGTGACTTTATAACACTAGACTGCATGAACTGTGATATGGATGAATTAAATTCAGTCGCAAAGCAGCTTATCATTAGTCGGTGGCATCGTTTTGCCGATTTAAGGATTCATAGGTCTATAAAAAGCCTTTGATTAAGTTTTTAAAATCATCGCTGTAAGGCCTGCGAAAATACGGTCATATGTACACACTGAATCCCTCTCAGCTCTCTCTCTCTCCCTCTCTCCCTCTCTCTCTGAGAGTTAGATAGCGTCTTCAACTGTATTTTATAACAGACAGGAGACGGTATCAAGCTTCTTTCACATAAGTCACCTTGTCCTGTTCCGATAACTGTGTAGCCAGTTCGTCTTTGAAAGAAGTCTCCGTATTCTCGTCGTCACGCTGACTTTGAGATAACCTTATGGATATTTTTCTACATCCATTTACGCGATGACAACTGCCTGCTCAAATTACTGCGTAATCGCTGTCCAACCACATGCTCTAAATGGAGCAGCAGTCTTCTGCCAACCCTCAGCGTTGAGTGATAGCAACAAGATCTATGCCCATTGCTAACTTGAGGTCAGTAGATGCCACATATGAGGATGACTCTCTTTATGTCTAAAGTCCCTACTCCCAGTTGTCTAAGCACAGACAACCCCCATAATCCGTTCATTATGCTTGGATTCCAGAAAAATCATTTAATTGCGTATCTGACTGACAGTCTAAACACGTGTGCAATAAAATCACCTGAACGTTTATCTTTTAGTGAGACCAGATAGTTTTCAGTAGAACTCACCTTCCACCTGGTCTGAATTGCAGTCAGTGGATGTGTAGGCGGAGATTACAAACAGTTAATGGCAAGTTCCTCCACTGCTTTTAGTCTTCATTGCGCCATTCAGTCGGACAGACGACTATAAACTAAGATCCGGTTAAGCAGCACACTTTGCACCCTAGGACTACATGTCATACCTACACCTGCAAGACCGCAAGAACTAGTCTCCGGATCTTCAGAAATCCTAAGGGTGAGTTTCACGGATTCACGATATTGACCAGGTGAAGCTAAGTGAGTAGCAACACTAGACCTATACGCATGTTTCAGAAATGTAGCACACATGCGTGGCCCGAGACGCTAGAGTTTCGGCTGGCTAATCTTATTGTACGATTTGATGGGAGGTGCGGAAATTGAAAGATCCAGTAGGTATTTTGAAGAGCGGTTTCAGATGACCAGGAATGCTTTTCCCGTGAACTCATGTCGTTATTGATAGCTGCAGAGCTGGTGGAAACTAGTAATGCTATAAGATTATTGAGAGAAAAATGTGAAGAAATAGAAAATAAGTATGTGGAAGGTGGACAATAATCTGAAGGAAATTAAGTGTTGACAGAATTGTGAGGGTGTCTGACACTTTCCAGCCGCCCACACCGTGGAAGTCTGTTTCTTCTTGTGGTGCCTAAAAAGGAAAAGTTAGTGCGTGTCTACAGGGCCCAAGGCGAAATCTGCTCAAGGCAAGTCACCTACAACCTTCTTAGAAGCTTAGGATTTGAGCATTTTAGTTTTGACTTCGTATATGAAATCATTTCGCCGCCATTGGTATGTCGTGAAGTAAAGGGGACTGAAGTTTTCTAACCCCCTCTTACAACAGGGGAAACAGTATCAGTGTCATACTTTTGGTCCTCTGCTGCAAACACCTTACTGTTGTCATCTCTTTTAGTCAACAGTACGACTTCATCCTCGGACCCCTATCTCATAGCGTAGCGATTCAAACTATCACCGTGACTGCTTTGTGTCTTATCATTATCCAACCTACCTTTCTGGTCTGGTGGGAACTTCAGTAAACAAGTGTTCCGCTAGCGAAGTTCAATAGGTTATTGCGATATACGAGCCCAGTCAGCAGCAGTAGTTAGCAATTAGCAGCTATCGGTCGGCTAGCCGAAGTACAACTAGGTTGAAAGAAGACCAAGGGCAACTAAACCGAAGTGTGGCAACAGTTCACGAAGTTTTTGATTTTGTTCCATCCACGTAGGGGTTATGAACTGTCTGGTTATGGGTTCTCGAGTCGATATAAATCGACGGTTGGAAACTCTCAGCGACGCCTGAAAATCGGTCACAATGGTGCAGATGCATAAACCACTTTAAAGTCTTAACCATCTTCATTCAACTTTAACCTTCTTCAAGCTTTCGCTGCTCTCACACACTTTTTCGAATTCTATGTCATTCTTTATGTATCCACGTTTTCTCTGCCTGTTGTTGCAAAGTTTGGCGTTCTGAACTGCTGCACTTTAGTGTCAGGTCCTATGCTGATTTCATTGCTACGTTTCTGTTTGACTTAACACCACTATATCTGCATCTGCAAGACCGCGTCAACTAGCAGCCGAATCTCCAGAAATTCGAAGTGTAAATGTTGAGGATTCACCGTATTGTCCGAGTAAGACCAGGGGAATAAGCTCACGTGAGTCCTGTAAACGTCTTAAACGCACCACAAGTTCATGGATGTAGATGCTCGAGTTTTGTCTGACGAAGCTTATTCGATTGTGCGATGGCTACTAGCAAAAATAAAAAGTCATATATGTAGTTAGAAGCCGGGTTTCAGGAAACAAATGATGCTATTGTGTGGATTCGAATCAATGGCCATGAAGCTAAACAAAACGTAAGATGGGATGGTAATATTATAAAGATGTTAATAAAGATAAGAGTAGAAAGCAGATTTGTAAAGGGTTGATAATGATAAAAGGGCGTTGTTTGGATTTTTAGTAAAGATGTTTATGTACGAGACTGAACCGAAGTCACTATGTTAATCTTTATGATCTTACCCAGGGCGAAGTAGCTGGAGTGGAATTTGATGTCGGGACCGACGGTTTAATCTCAGTGGTTAACCACAAAAGTCGCATCTCCGTGGATGTTGTTTTCACCATGATGAATGCATATATGCCTGAGTATGATTCAGAGTATCTTACAATCATTATTAGTTGGTGTTCAACATTACTTATTTTGTCTAAATGGTGATTGAGTGCGATCACATATAGCTATTTTTGTACAAGTAATGCGTCATGAATTTCAGATGCACATATTTACACTTTATTGATCAAGCTGGATCATAACACGCTTTACAACTGTTATATATTTTGCAAAGGTCAGACTGTTTGGTGTGTTACCAGGTTCGTATCTGTTTATGAACCCTGTTGTAGATGATCATGGTTGTCTTACGAAGTAAAGGTTATCTTGCCATCCTTATTGAAAAAAGTGGTGATTCACAACCTTCTTATCTATTGTCTATACCACACATTTGATATAAGCGTTTTCAGTTACGTAGTATAGCTAGCCATTTATAAAAAGCTGAAGCTATTAGCGTGTAAGTTATGGCCAATTGGAAAAAACACTCTGGACTTACTCTTTTAATACTCATTAAGTTAGCATTAGCAATTCATCCATTTCATATATGCTAATCAAGAAAGTAGCTGAGAAAACTTTCTGCTTCATTACTTATCACTGAACTAATTGAGAATGTAGGTATCTCATGGAATTCACACTAAAATATTCTTAAATTCATTCTCTAAACACCAGGAAAGACTGTTTCTTGAATATGACTCTTCAGTATAACTGTTTTTGCATGCATACTTGTCACTCAGTAGTGAGACATTTCGAAGTGGTCATTCGTTGTTTTTTTGAATATTCTTTAGCTGTTACTCGAAAGCTTTATGAAACTGTGAACTGCTCTCACTATAACGTATTCCCATTGGCTGCTTCTATCTTACTGATGAATTGTCTGGTTCCCCAATTTCAATGTATACTGACATTCGTTCTTTCTTGATAATTTATCTTATGTATCTCGTATTTAGCTCAAGAGATAACGAAGTACGATGTCCTACTCTATAGATCCGATCCTTCCTTCTCTATTTTCAGATTCATGAATCGAACTGGATACATATGATGGCATTTATTTTGGGATTTCTTAAGGTTTAGGTATTCTTGTAGCTGTATTCATAATCATGGTATTCTAAATGGTGATTTACCAAGATACAAATACCTGTATCATTTCACTGTTTGGAGCTAGATTCCATTTCCATCACAATCTCTGTTTCTGTTCACTGTCATAGAGCTGGTAAAAAATGACCTAAGTGTCTGATAACGTTGTTTTGGCTTCCATCGAGTTATGAAGAGGTGTTAAATATAAGAGCGGAATTCAGGTAGAGAGCGTAGTTCGATTAAAGTTTTTTTTACTTGTATTACATAGTAAAACTATTATTTGCTGGATGAAATTTTGAGCAGAGTTTATTGCTGATAATTATATCAGTTAATAATGGTGTTTTAGTTTAAAGGCACTAACTGGTTACTGAACCTTAAAATTTAGAAACTGGCAGTTTGTAGGTCATTCATAGCCCTCCTTTTCGAACATTAGAATGACTACCTCAATCCCCCTTACTGTGATTATAGTTTTTCCTAAGTGGTGAATAAAGTTTGACTAAGAATCAACAACTGTGACTCAGATTGAGGTTAGATTGACCAGCGGTTTTCTATGTATACCATACCGGTGATCATTCGGTTTGACAATTATTTACGTTGTGATTGAAGATGATTCTGAATTTCTTTCATTCAGACTTCATGTTAGATATTTGCCAAGTAATATTCAACATGTTTTCTTTTTTTGGATTGGCTTCAATGGTGTAGTACGCAACCTGAAAAACTGCTTTTCCAACATGAAAATCTAACCGTTTGTGGCTGTCTTTTTCTATCACTCTTAAACCGTGTTAATTGAGTCAGTAAAGTTGATGTCCGTTGAACAGAATATGTTTACCACAAATGATGATTGCAGTACGTCATTTTACAAGCCTAGTTGATTTTCTCTAGATAATGATACAACTAATGTAGATAGTGCGCCTGCTGTGCATGTAGACGATGTACAGCGTATGGAAGCTCGTCTCTTAAAACTGCTAGATGAATTCAATGCAGGGAAGTCATCGTCGTTCGGTAAGCGGGCTAAATTTATGTACAGTAAAATTATAGGTCCCAGTTGCCCATATGAGAAACTTGATTCAATTCGAGAGCAGCAAGAAGAGCTGATGCGATTACACTTTGAGCAAGATAAAAAGATGATGTCAATCCTTGAGTCAAGCTCCTCACTTGGTCGGCGACCTGTCAGAGCGTAATGAAATATTATTCAAACATTCTGTTAGGCTTTTAACTGACGAAGGTCGGAAAACTACGAAAGCAAATGTTGACGCTTTGGTCACACGGGTAGGTAACTTTTTACTCTAATAAATTTTCTCATTTTTAGCTTAGTTGATTTGTAGCTTACTTTCGATGATATATCGAAATTTTCTTCAGTCTTTACTTTTGGTTTCATTTTATGGGAACTAGTTAGTTATTTAGTTTTATGTCATGCAAATTTAAAGCTATGTTGGTGTAAACAGTATGGTTTAAGTGTGCTTATTATTTCAGGTGATTTGTTTAGTTATTTCCACATAGTTAAGATTATGGTATGCACCCATCTCAAAAAACTAAGTTGAATTAAGCTATCCTTTAATTTTAATACTAGTTTCTTCTAAGTGAGAATGTCTGACAACTTCGACCATGGTTGTCTCAGTAAGATTTTTATTTCTGGTAGGGAGATTGCGTAAAGAATCCTGAAGTCTAATGGTACATGCTTTTGTATTGTTTAGTCTGCCACTACTTGAGTGACTTCATTTTGAAATAGTAGCTGCGGATGGCTTGAATATGTTTCAAGAATATTGTCCCAGTGTCTTCCATGCTGTTCACTGTTTACTAGCCCTAGAAGTCGTCAGAAAAAGTACAAAAGCGGTCAGTATGTGAAGTGGTGCCGCCAGCCGAAGGTGTTTTTGCTAGTTTAGCATGTGTTGGTTCACAAAAGCTCAGTGGTGATCGTACTGTAGCTTTCTTTATTCTGTTCTCAGGAGGTAAAACTATGGTAATGAACAATTCTTAGTTACATTTCATGAGAGTTCTACTTCGATTGTTTTTTTTTCAATTTTTCCTTTTCTATTTTTTATATCACTTGGTACAACACACTTCTTGTAGTCTAACTACCGACTTATTGTTCTATGTAAATGTTTCTTTTCAGCTAATGACTATCATTATCTCATATCCCTTCTTTGTTATATCGTCAGAATTCGATATTATTTTGTGCTGCACATATTTTGGAGCTTGTGTGTTTCTAGTCTGTGTTTAAACCCAATTATTTGTCATGTTGGAGGATAAGTGGTGGACTAGCAAATACTGTCCTTTTATGTGGTTGGCAAATCGGTGGTCTGCAGTGAAGGGCTACAGCAGTAATGCTTATCAATAACTAGTCTAGGGTTCAAGTCTGTAGAGTTAATTCATCTAATATAGTGTTTAATTTCTACTGGTTGAAGTGGATAGTATATTACTGTCCAAAATACCTCTATCCCTCTAAATTTAATGCCCGGTAAGATGGTTAAATGGAAGAGCTTGGAAAATCACACTAAGAAGTAATAGTAAGCCAAGTATCGGTTAACTAATGATGTGAAGCGTTTTGGGAAATGTAGCATGCTGTCGAAACCAGGTCATGAGATAGTAATCATAATTGATACGTTTGGTAGATATTGATCTTATCTACTATGTCCGTCAACTTTTGAATTTCTCAGGCATTATCTTCCTATTTCACTGCGTTTTTTCTTCGTATTTTTCTATTGCTTATGAAAATTTAAAAGGCTGTGCACACACCGGAATGATTACTATGAACTGGAATCAATTAACTGTTGTGGCATAGGCAGCTAGTTTACGACTTAGTGTGAATAAAATTTGGACTAATCTTTTAACGCTGACAGTAAGTGATGCTAGGTAGAATCCGTGAGGGAACATGGGTTTTTCAGTCATATGTACTCTGATAAATGTCAACAAGTATAAAATCCAACTTCCAGAGCTTCTCACTGACTGACTGACTGGAAATTGAAATTAAAATTTTGTTTTTATTTGTAGAATATGTTGTTATTCTTTTTTAGCTGGAATCCTTAAGCTACGCAATGTAAGTCAACTTAATGTTTATTTTCTTGACTTTATGTAAACAAATCTTCACCTGATGTATTACAGTCTAATTATAATTTTAATTGTTTTGCTTTGTGTCATGGTTGCCTTCTTTTTATAGTCTTTCACACACTTTTTCCTAAAAATCACCGTCATGACGTGCTAAACTGTTTAGATGATTGAGTGTGTACTAGTACTCAGTTAGGTTTAAGTTTTGTGTGTTTACTGCTGCTGAAAATAGTTGCACGCTCAGTTGTCATAACTCTAGAAATGTTATTAATACTGGTGATTTTTATGCTTTAGATTGAAGTAAGGTATTTTATGAAGTCGAATATAACATCATTATCGGTACTAATAACTTGATACTAGGAGTGGCCACAGATTGCCAATAAAAAAAATCTAAAAGTAGTAGCCTAGGTTTATTGGTATTACGTATAGGAGGGGAACTGAAACACAGATCCTTCTGCTTATCCTCTATCTATTTATTTATCCATTGAGTTCGACCCATCTGGACCTCTGTAACACTGAGGGATAGTTTAATAACGTTTGCTATGCATTTGTTGCCTCCAAAATACTAATAGTTGTTTTAAGACAAGTGTCTGCATCAGTGCTCTGTTTAAAATTAAGAAACGATGTCATTAGAAATGTTGACCACTTCACTTGGCTGGAAAGTCATATCGACCCTGGTTAAATTGGTAACCGACAAAACCTCGATACGAAAGGGTTCAATTGGCCCTTTTCAAATTATGGTACTTTTAACGTGGGCATAAATCCTGTTAAGTGTACTGTGGAAAATTATCTAAGAACGTAAAACATGGTCATTAAAAGGGGGGATTTGTTAAAACTGGAGGGATTTGACCACTTTTGCTGTCATTCAGTCGCTTATTTGAAGTAAGAATTACCTATTAGCAATACAGCGTCTAGGTGTAAAGCATGAGATAAAGAAGGGTAAGTTATGAGATGAAGTTGTAAACCTTTATCCACAAAAGTTATTTTAAGGTATGTTACACACAACTAAACGCTATGTGGTGCGAAACACTAAAATAAGTTAAAATTAGGTTGGTGAAGTGCTAACGTGTTATTAAAGCAACACTCTGTATCAGTTCATGAAGTCGTTCAATAAGTCTGAATGCCATGAGCAGTATTTGGCTTTCTAGTAGTGGGGATCGGTGAAACAAATGGAATCAAAGGTTGGCGACTAAGAGGTCTGGCATTCACTTAAACTCAGTGACTAAGATGCATCTGCACCATGATACCGGATCGGGGATTTTTCGTAATTGGTGGTTAAAATTAGGAGACTGTCGTTGTACTCATATCACTTAGACACACAACACCGGCTGAACATTAAAACACTGTCCTTGTTTTACTGAAAAGACACAAAAGACAAGATTGGGAAGGCCAGATTTATTCCTTTGAAAAAGGTGAAAGCTAACTAAAAATGTAACTTACGTATTTCTTGTACTAAACTGCTAAGTTTAATGCAAAAAATTGTCTGCTTAGGCATAATTTAATGATGGTCTAGTAAAATACCGATATGATTTTTGACCTCGCTATAGGACGAATACTCATTCCACGTATAATATGAAAAACATTGACCAGTAATCTTTCTGTTCGTTGCAACATATAACTTCATGCAAATCTATAATAGTCAATTAGTATATGTCGTAATTCTCCTCATCACTCTGTGTACCTGACAGCTTGAGCGACCAGTGGTAACATATTTTTCATTTCCTCGCTTCTATTCTATTTGCATTTTTGTGCCTGACTAAAAGACGACAAATCCAAGTGTGTATTTAGGGAAGAGTTGCCCAAGTAACCCACACAAAAATGTTAGCAAGAGCCAGTAAACTCCTACAACTCGATGCCAAAAGAAGCGTTACCGCTTTTCCACACAACCGCGAGGATTTATAGGAGGCAAAGGCAAGAGATTGTCAGTGAGAACATCGCTGATAAAAGAAAAGTCAATAACCTCTCAGGAAAGACCACCTGGACGTTTGGGTGGAACACTAAAGCACAGTTCAGCTGACCCACAGCAAAGCTTCAGTTGCTCAGCATCCTGCCCAAACTTCAATGGGAAGTAAATGTCGGTTCGTCAACTCTCCTCGAAGTTCACAAGGCTGTTTCCGACCTGAAACAGTCAAAAGCAGCAGGACCTGACTGTTTGTGACCCAACGTTTTCAAGGATGGGGTAGTAAACTACTGATTAGAGTAACACAGGTACCATGTAGAAAACTATAGATAGTCCCACCACACTGGTTCATACAACAAATCATATGAAGGAAGAGAAGTCTCCTTGAGACAACAATAGGGAGGTCAGTTTGACTATCACATTCTAGATCCTATCGTTTATAGTCATACGACGTCTAACTTGAAATTAAAAACAACAAACTGGGGAAAACCAGGTGGGTTTTGCGACATGGACGAGGATGCATCGATCAGATTTTCACCTTTTTATAGGTACTGGAACACAGACGTACATACCGGCCAACGGCCGACACTTGCCATATTTCCTGACTCAAGTGCGACATTCGACTCTGTCGACCATCGGATGTTGTAGTAGTGTCTGACTCCGAAAGGAGTACTGAGCAAGTACGTAACTGTAATCAAAGCTCTGTTCTCAAATTCTCGCAGTTGTGTAAGGGCTTATATAGAGTTATCATCTGAACTGCCGACTACCAATCATGTTCGCAAATGTTCATCATTATCATTTTTATCAAATTTTGTATGGATATGGGATTAGATCTCAAGCTACGTAACCACCCTTGAGTTCTGAATACGTGTTTTAGATATGAGACATACGTCCATAGCTTGAGATTCCAGAGTTATGGTGACGGATGCCTGCTGTCTGATTCGCAAAGGGTTTGCAGGTTAAAAGCTCGGATACGAAATTGGCAGCTGGGTCTTAAAAGAGTGAGAATGGGTTTTGCTGGCTTGGAGTGTTGACACTGGTTGCAGTTCGAGGGGTTCAGAAAGTTGTTATAGGCTTAATAGCAGGTATCTTTCAGGTAACAATTTATCAGGGACCAATCTTTTTCAGTGATTCCTACTGACCATTTTGTTGTTTCAGTCAGCTTCCGTAACAAACTAAGATGACTACCGAGTATTATTAGTAAAGTAAGGCAACCCAGAATGGACCTATTTACTAGGCTATGAGCCCTACTAATTTTGTGAGGGTTTATTTATACTACGCGGTTTCTCAAACGAAAGTAGATACCACAAGATGTGAACCGGTTACGCGTTGCTCAAAAGCGGAGTGCTTAAGCTAATGAACCACATCACCAAATTAACGAGTATTATTTAGCAATGTTTTTTCCATCCCTTTGGCTCTCACAACCCACTGCCTCCAGTTATTGTGGAGACCGTTAATGAAATAAGTCTCAGTTGCTTTTGTTCTGCATATTGGTCAAAGATAGTTGGCATAAATCTTTTCGCATCTATGAGTTTGCCTTGGAATGAGAAAATCCAGTGGCTTTTGGTAACCTTTGGAGACTAACTATTTTAACTGGTGTTTCTACTGCAGACTGAATACTACTTCAGGACTGACTATCACAAGTAAGGTTTTAAGGTGGAAAGTACACTGCTTAACTGAAGTTTAAGCATGTTTTTTGGGATGCTTCTCCCACCTGCCAAATGTAAGATGACGCTTCAGGAGTACTTTGTACCAATATCTAGTTTCAGGATAGGGAATGAAGTGTTAGTCGTTGATAACTTCACTCGCTTGGGCAACGGCATTAGCTCGAATGAGATGCTAACCCGACACAACTATACATGATTTTATTGGATTTCTAGGTCTATCCATTGAAATTTTGTGCAGGGTTCCTGCATGTTGTAATTTCGTTGAAGCTTTTTGTGTAACCTTACGGGTAGATGTCTATATGGGAAATTAATTGGTGGGCTCTAGATAGTTGCTTGATGTCTTATTCCACTTTAGATGAAGCTCATATATTGACTTTGTGACTGAGATGACAGTGAACACTTGGAGATTATGCTCCTGAGTAATTTAGTGTTTCTTTACTTTAGTTTAACTAACAAGTAAATGTACCAACAAGCTTGTCTGTTGTTCCCATTTTGACGTGTAACTAATCACCGTACTACTTTTCTGATTTTTTCATCAAATTGCAATGAGACTGTTCATGGTCTGGGATTTATAAAGTATTAAGATCTTTTGTGTAAAATGTGTTATCATGGTGATAAAAATGTCTTATCAATACATGATTTTCATGTTATTTGTTGTTATAACAGTTATGATTCGAAGCGGTTCGACATGCTAGTTGAAAATTCGTTTAAATAATCGTCAAAGTTTTCGCTTTCATTTTTTGTTATTTTGTAAGACAGGTTTTGCTATTTTTAAGTTAACATTTTGTCTTATTGATTTCACTTTTAATTTCAGACACAATTTACACTATGCCAACAGACCTCGACCATGATCTTCATGGACGTTTATCCGGCAAAAAAGTTTACTGCTCAGTTTGTATCCATACTTACTCTGGAATACGACGAATTTTTACTTTTCCTTGTGCATATTAGTTATAGTTTGAGAGATTTCACGAATTTCTTTCATCTGGATTTAAAATACGAAGTGTCGTTGGAGTCTTGTGTTCTACTTGGATTTTACAAACTGTATATTGCCCTGGTTTTTTGTTCTGTATGCTCTACCGGGAGTTACGAAGTGGCGGGCGACAGTCGCTGGTCCCAGACTCCTCTTTTGCCTTGCATAACTTTTCGACTTATTTTCTTGAGATATTTCACTGTTTTGCATGATCTTATCATTCAAATTGTTACTGTATTATGTGCTCATAAATAGATTTCAGTAAGTGCGTCGTCTTTGTCTGCGTGACTCATTTCGAAAAATTGATTCCTTTCCCTGTGTACTGGACTACCATTATATATTTTTTTACTGCCTGTTAATGCATCGTCTATTACTCAGTCACCTTTCATTCATTTTGGCTCAAGTTAAAGTCACGGAAAAAATCTTCGTGTCTCTGGATCCAAAACCTCTACCGAATTTCTCTTGTTGCTAAAGCTACAGATATTGTTGAATTCGAATTAATGATAGCTCATTGAGTGTTTTACGTGAAAAGATAAAAATACAACTGAGTGACCATATTCAGATTCGGGATGTTGTCTGTCAACCAAACTTATCTGGTATACATGCATAATGCCATCAGGTTGTCAAAATTTAGGTAGCTCGTTTTGTGTTTAGATTTATGCGTAAACTGGGAAAATGGAACTAAGTCTGAGTCAAGCAGTTTGATTGTTAATCCTCTCAGTCGTACTACTTTTGTATCTCATGCATTAGTCAGTATTTTTCTCGTCAGTACTTTTATGCATATCAGGTTTTGCGTATAATATTGTGATGTATTGTAGTCTTAAACGTTTAAGGTATTGTGAGCACACGTCTAATGAAATGCAGTTTCATTCATCATAGACTTTAGGCGGAGACATCGTCTCCTATCTTTATCTGAAGCTGATGGCTACTAATGAACTGTATCACTCATGATTGAGGGTGTTTGTGAATTTTCGAAAAGGCGTACTCATTCTACATGGTATCTTGAATATACCTAATGCATACCGTTATTGCATTCCTTCACTTTAGAATCATTTAAAGCTGTAGAAACAGCGGTGAAGATAATTAGTAACCTATACTCGAAGGTTAGCAAACACCATTGAATTTCGGTGACAGCATCCGAACTGATTGAGGTGAGAAGACTGATTCCAGATGGCTCTGACCACGACGATGAGCGAAGGTAACTTAAGGTGACAAAGAGTCTTCGCTGGCAATGATCGCGAACGGTGGTGGGTGGCGAAAGCGAGACAGATGGAGAAAGCATGAGCGTTGGGTAACACTTGCAAATATTTAGGCTTATTAAGGATACCAGCGAGAAGAAGACGATGGTGAATGAAACCCTTACCGAAAAGGATGGGAGGCTGATAACATCAGAGGACAGGCGGCTAGAACGTTGGGAGGGATACTGTGAAACACGATTCAACTGATTCTCAGCAACGCTTCAGTTGCCCAACATAAGATCTGAAGCTGAATAGGAAGTAGATGTTGGTCCTCTAACTCTCCTTGAAGTTGAGAAAACTGTATCGAACCTGAAATGATGCAAAGCAGCAGAACCTGAGTGTTTTCCATCCGAAGTTTTCAAGGAGGGAGGTAAGAAATTAGCTATTAGTGTGACGGAGGGACTAGGCAGTGTATTGGAATCAAAGGCAGTACTGTCAGACTGATATGAGTTGATCATCCTACTCCATAAGAACGGAGAGAAATCCCCCTTATGACCACCATAAGGAAATTGGTTTGACTTATAATGTGTACAAGGTCTTTGGTTCTACAGTTATCTGACGCGTAAGCGGAACTGTAGAAAACCAGGCAGGTTTCAAACATGAAGGAGAGTACATCGATAAGATTTTCACAGATTCCGGAACACAGGCATAGTTACCGGCCAAAGACCGACACTCTCCGTATTTGTTGACCTGAAGATAGCATTTGACTCTGTCGATCATGATGTGTTGTAGCATTGTCTGATTGTGAAGGGAGTGCCGAGAAAGTTCATGACGCTAATCAAAGCTCTCTAATCAAACTCACGCATCCGTGTAATGGATTATAGAGAGTTGTCATCTGTGTAGAGGAAAACTATTGGTGTCTGCCAGGGGTCCGCGTTGTCACCGTTCCTGTTTAACTCCGTCATAGACATACTGATGGATGTAGCCTTAGGTACAGCTGACTGTACAGGGACTGACCTACTCCCTGTAGGTCATTTGGGTGGTTTGGAGTATGCAGACGACGTCGTGCTCAGTGAAGACTCATTGAGCATGAACAAATTGAGGTGAACGCTTTGAGCAAATATCTGAGTACATTTGGCATGAGCTTCGCTGGTACCTGTAAAATCTAAGATATTGCCTCAGGACTGATATACTGCAACTACTCCCAGTTTAATGATGAGGGAGGGGGGGGGGAGCAGTGAGTGAAGTGGTGGAATGTGTCGACCACTTTACGTACTTGGGATGTTACATCAGTTCGAACGGGCTGGTTGATGATGAAATCTCAGCTCGGACATGGAAGGCACGTTTGGAATTTGCCAACTTGCGTCATCTGTGGCGTCGACTGGCGAGATATCTGACTATCAATAAATGGACCAGTGTACTGCTCTGCATTCTGTTCTGACCTGTTGCACGGTAGTGAGACACGACCGTTAAAATTAGAAGGCACGAAACGATTGCTGGGATTCGATCACACAAGTCTTCGTAGAGTTGCTTGCATTTGGTAGAATCACCGTTTGAGCAGTATTTTGGTTAGGCGAAAGGTACTAGACAAACCAGGCAAGTCGGTTGGTGAGGTTGTGAACCTTAGTCGACTGAGATGGCTTGCAGATGTACTGCACATGCCGAGCCACCGCCCACCTCGGCGTTCCATGTTAGGGAAGTTGGATTAGGTCGGGAGAGGGTCATGGTGGCCAGACCAAGTCGTAAGACTAGTCGATGAGTTCCCTAACTGTTTGTTTTAGCCGTGTGTGGGGGATGTGGACCGCCTAATTGGGGTCTCTGAGACGAAAGGAATTAGTGGTTGAGGAATCTTGGTGACATGACTGAAAATCGGTTACAGTGGAACAGATGTATTTACTCCTTAGCATCTTCTAAAGCACATACACAAACTTGAAGATCTACAGGCGAAAACTAACAAGTTGACTTAAGAGGCGAGGCAGCGAATACGGGACTTCAAGTGAATGTAGAGAAGGCAGAGGTGATGAAGATACCACACCAACGCCGCCAACAACAAACTCCAATCACCATGAACGGGAGAAACTTAAAGGAAGTAACCTCCACCTATCTAGGCAGCATCGTTCCAACTACAGGCTGCACAGACAAGGACGTCAAAGCCAGGATCGGAAAAGCAAGACAGGCGTTCATTAGCCTGAAACCAGTGTGGAGATCTGCACTCAGCATAAGTCGTGAACAAGATCCGGATTTTCAACACCAAGTCAGTGCTTCTGTGTGGTTGAGAGACTTGGCGCGTTACGAAAGGGATTTCCAATAAAGTACAGACATTCATCAACAACTGCTTACGCTGGCTTGTTACTGAAGATCAGATGGCCAGAAAGAATAAGCAACAAGGAGCCCTGGGAAAGAACTAACCTAGAACCTATCGCTGAGCAAATATGCAGAAGGAAGTGGAGATGAATTGGATTGGGCATACACTGAGAAGGCCGACTGGGGACATCACGCGCCAGGCCAGGTACTCGAGTGGAACCCAGATGGGAAGCAACGAGTTGGGCGTCCGAGGTGAGGGTGACATGGAGGAGATCTTGTGAGGAAGAAATGAGAGCTTGTGGGCTGTCGTGGAGCCAGGTTCAAAAGATTTCAGCGAACAGAGTGCAGTGGAGACGTGCTGCTGAAGCCCCATTAGGAACCTAAGGGACATATAATTGTATAATATATCTTCTAAAGCTTGAATATTTGCGCTAACCTCTGTCTTCTGATTCCTTATTGTCTCATACTACTTTTACTACTTTGAAATCACTCTTTTTCTATCTTCCTCTTCCTTGTGTACCACTGTAAAATGTGGCAACGTGAACTGGTGTAATTGTGCGCCAGGTTCTGCGTTGATTTTGTCAGTCACTTATTGTTGTTTATATACGTATTTCCAGAGGGAACCTACAAGCGTGCTTTCAAGTCGGATTAAAAGCATATCTTCGTGTTTTTGCAGTTAGCTGGCGATTGCTGAGCTATTTTATTATATTCTTTCTTATGTTAAGCCCAATAACCTTTTGGTGCTCAGATGGTGCACTATACGTTGTTAGCAAATGTCCAACCTTTCGTACGAAAAAATGGCATGGTGGACACGCTCCCATTTACCACAACCGAGATAAGCAAAACCATGTGCAACTCTCCGAAAGCAGTGCACACCTACCAGAACAAGGAATCTTGTGTCGAGACGCAATGGTTTTGAGAGTGATTACAAATAACCCTAATGAGCCCTAAGATATAAAGAGATACATACAAAGACGTTAAGTGTGTAACACTTCGTACCACAAAAAGACAATTCCTGACTAGAATCTAGCATAACGTATTATGGCTAAAAAAGTAAAAAGAAACCTAACTTGTGAGTCATCCAATAAATAAACATTCCAAAAACATCACATTACGCAGATTATCTTACCGAAAATCATTAAAATATATCTCAGTAGCGAGTGAACTCATCCTGAAATGTATGCAGAATACGTGAACATAAACCAATGACACCATGATTAATCGCGTTTAGAAATTCGAAGCAATATTTTGGCGTAATTTGTTGAGATACGCTTTTTAATTTCAACGTACTTTTGTGCACCCAGTGGGTTACAGTATGTAAGGATGAGAATGAAGAGACGTTGTACGACACACTGTGTACTTGATGTCAGGTGATAGAGTTTGCAAAACGCTTTGG